CATACGCATATCTCTCCATCGAGAGGTTGTATACAGTCCGGCCTTAGATTAACTAAAATGCGACTCTCGAACTCTTCGTCCCCTATGTGCTCACAATCCCTATGCTCGTCGCCCTGTGCAGAAACACGCCACACAACTGACACCACTGTGCTCCCACCCTTTGCTTCCAAGCCCCGCTGTGATCAACATCCTATCTTCACCTCTTGTGCACGCAACCCATCCGCTCACTAACCCTGTACTCAGTATCCAGCCCTCTTCCGCACCCTCCCCCCACCCCCACCATGTTCACACCTTGCTTCAACCCCCCCCACCCCGCAATCCTCCTCACATGTTTTCACCTAGCCTCTACATACCTTCCTTTTCTCACCGCGCTTGTCTTCACCCGCAACGTATTCTCGTCACTATTTGCTCATTCATCTGAGCTCACCTTCTGAGCACAGCTACTTGCATTCATTCCAATGAGTTTACCCCTCTGTGCTCCTACCCCCTGTGCTTACTCTTTCTTCCCTGTACTTGAACCCCAATCTTGCGCCCAACGCCCACTTTGCTCACCCTCCCAATGCTCACCCGCCTGTGTTCACCCGCCACTCTTCAAACCACACCGATGCGCACACACGTTGCTCGCATTCCTATGCTTACCCCTGGCCCTGTGCTGCCCCCATCATTGCGCTCCCACTATAGTCGTCTCAGCAATTTGTGCTCCTGTTCTCTGCTCAACTATCTGGGCTCACCCACCTGTGCGCAGCCTCCTGCTCTCACCCTCCGCACCCCCTCTGCTCTCCCGCTCCCCGTGTACTTACGCTAACGTGGCTTTCACCTTCCCTGCTGCTCCCACTCAGTCCTCGACCCTCTCCAGGTCCTCAATTATTAACAGGTTGTCTTGTTTTATATGCTTTCCCACTTTGAGCCCCCATCTCCGTCCTCGCCTCCCTTTTCTGAACGCCACTGCTTTCACCCAAAATATTCTCTCCAACTTCTGCTCGCGCCTCTGTGCTCACACCTGCTGTGCTCATCCCCATACTTTCAACGACCTTTTATCATCGCCCTATCCTCATCCATACGTTGCTCACCCCCAACTACCCCCCAACCCGGGTTCACACACCCCTTTGCTCACCCTCACAATTCTTACTGCCCCTGTGCTCACCGCTGCCTGCGCTCAACCCACCCATGTGCATACGTCCCGTGTGCTCAACCCCTTTTGCTCAACACTCTGCGCTCCACCATTACACACCAACTTGGCTCGCAACCCCAATGCTCCACCGCCCGTAATGACCAGTCCCCTCCCCTCCGAGTACAAGGTGATAATCAGAGGCAGAGTTGGTTACATGAGCAGATGACGCCGATAAATAACTCTGACGCCGAATAACGACTCGAGGCGCATTGACGCCACCTCCCAGATTTAATTATAAGCTATAATAATAATAATCCTGGCATTTGTTATAGCGCTTTTCACGTCGGGAGAGGACGTCCCAAAGCGCTTCACAAAACACACTGTAAAGTGAATTGACTGTATATTTGTGGGCGAACGTGGCAGCCAATTGCGCACAGCAATGTCCCACAAACAGTCGTGGATTGAAAATGTCCAATTATTATTGTTTTTTTGGTTTTGGAGGATTATTATTAGGCTCTGTGTGGAGTAAGGAAACTTGGCCAAGGTTTGGCCCTCTGCCTGGAATTGAACTCAGGTCTCTCACTTGCAAAGCGAGTGCTCTAACCACTGAGCTACAGGACTCCACCATATAATACTGTCGGCAAAAACATTTACCTATTTTCTCAAGCTGTGGTTTACCGAAAACATGAGCGATAAAATATGATCAGACAGTGAAGCATTTACCTGAGCAGATGACGCCGGCGTCATAGGAGTGTGAAGCTCCGTAACGGTGACCCCAGTGCCATGAGGGACAACCCCTCAGAGCCGATTCACTCCCTCCGCACCGCACATCCCACGTCACGACGGGACCTGAGCCTTCGCCGAAGTGAGCGCCTCCTGGTGCTGACAGCGCGTCTCCGCAGCCCAACTCCTTACACACCACAGCCGCGGCCGTCATCTCCCAGGTCGAATACTTATAGGTTTTGCCAGTGCCATCCACTGTGCCCCACTGTCCATCGTGGTAAACCTCCACGGTCCCGGCACACGGGCTGCCGCTGTTCACCAGCCTCACCCTCAAACCCTCTGTAAAACATCACGCAAAATATTAAGGTTCTGTTTAATAATAATAACAATAATAATAATAATCGTCGCATTCGATATAGCGCTTTTCACGTCGGGAGAGGACGTCCCAAAGCGCTTCACAGAACACACTGTCAAGTGAGTTGACTGTATGTTTGTGGGCGAACGCGGCGGCCGATGGCGCACAGCGATGTCCCACAAACAGTCGCGGATTGAAAATGACCAATTTATTATTGTTTTTGGTTTTGGAGGGATTATGATTAGGCTCTGTGTGGAGTAAGGAATCTTGGCCGAGGTTTGGCCCTCTGCCTGGGATTGACCTCAGGTCTCTCACTCGCACAGCGAGTGCTCTAACCACTGAGCTACAGGACTCCACAACACATTATACATACAACACATTATACGTGTGCGGAGCGCCCATCGCATTGGGAGGTTGTCGTGGTGGTAAACAATACAGCAGCAATAACAATGATTATAATGGTTGTAGTGAGTGGCGGCGATACTCAGTCCACAACCCGGGTGTCAGGTTAACAGCAGCAGCTTATTATTATACAATTAACTCTACTCGTTGCAGCGACGTTTGCGAGCAAAGGAGAGTGGTGTTATCATTTATATTGTGACACTTTACATTACATTATTATAACTATACTAAACTTTTATACTTGTGTTGGATTATTATTATTATTGTTCATTTTCAATCTACGACTGTTTGTGGGACATTGCTGTGCGCAATCGGCCGCCGCGTTCGCCCACAAATATACAGTCAATTCACTTGACAGTGTGTTCTGTGAAGCGCTTTGGGACGTCCTCTCCCGACGTGAAAAGCGCTATATCAAATGCGAGGATTATTATTATTATTATTATGCATCACATTGCATTTTTAAGCTTTATATTTAGACTGCCGAGCAGGGCGAAGTTTTAGCCAAGTTTCCGCGCTCCAAATGCCTCTGTTTGCAGAGCAGCAAGAATTAAACCATTAGTCAAGGGGGGATCATTTTGCAGGGGATAATAAATCATTGAAAAATATAATAAGTTGTTCACTCGGTCCATAGCTTTTGATGGACACCGTTTCGCGCAAAAAATATAGAGACGTTTCACATGCGGTAGATTCCGTGATGCGCAACGAGATACTTTGGCGCCATATTAAATACGAGGATAATATTCCTTCAAATTGTTTAACATGACAATAGATTGTAAGTTATATCATTTTATCATACTTGACATTAAATACTATAAATAATTACACTTTACATAAGATTATTATACATTACATAACGGTTGGAGATTCCCCCCAAAATAGAGGCCCAGATTCCCACCACAACTTGTTACAGAATATATTACTACATATGTACAGTATATATTACAACACATGTGTCGAACGAGAACTGTATGATTTGGTTGCGGAATATCGTGCAAACCTCATTATGTGGGACTTAATTAACCGTCTATTTAAATATAGTTCGTCAACGGTAGGAAATCCCCGAAAGCGTCCCCGCGCCATTGGATCATGGAAGACGTTTCCCTTTGAGATGCAAATCAGTTCTCTTCTTAAATCGGTGAAGGCGTTATTAACAGTTGTACAAACACGTGCACAGAGATAGACATTGTCGTTCTATGAGTGCGTTAATGACTCGGGTTTGTATGAGGACAAGTAACGCAATTCATACACAAACACAGAGAGATATAAACGGCACCCCAGGGACATCCCTACCCGGGCGCACAGAACTCAGGCACAGTCCCCGCCCCAGGCTCAAGCCCCACGCATGGGGCGCATCCCCCAAAATTGCACAGCGCCGCTTGTGGCAAAGACCCTCCTCAACTTACATCCTTCCAAGGCACAGTCCCCTACACCCAGTGCTCAGCCAACACGGCCAGAAACCGCGCGGCGCATCCTCTAACCCCGGGACGCATCAACTGGAGGCACAGCCCCGGGCACAGCCTCACCCAGAAACATCACACTCAGTGATGAAAATCCCACCGCCCCCAGTGTACCTCCAACCAGGACGTGGAGTCCTGTAGCTCAGTGGTTAGAGCACTCGCTTTGCAAGTGAGAGACCTGAGTTCAATTCCAGGCAGAGGGCGAAACCTTGGGCAAGTTTCCTTACTCCACACAGAGCCTAATAATAATCCCTCCAAAACCAAACACAATAATTAAATTGGTCATTTTCAATCTACGACTGTTTGTGGGACATTGCTGTGCGCCATTGGCTGCCGCGTTCGCCCACAAATATACAGTCAATTCACTTTGCAGTGTGTTCTGTGAAGCGCTTTGTGACGTCCTCTCCCGACGTGAAAAGCACTATATCAAATGCAAGGATTATTATTATTATTATTATTATTATTATTATTATAGTGATTCCGTATTTCGTATTCGAAAAGTGGCATCCAAATTCGCACAGCATTTTCCCCACAGATAATCGTGGATTGAGTGACCACACTTTATTTAGCCAATCGATTAACAACTGGATTGCTACTTACGGCTCGGTAAACAGATGCGTATGTGTTGATAGGAAACTTCCCAAAATTTATCCCTGTCCTGCCAGGGAAAAAAACCCGAGTCCCATCCCTTTCGAGATGAGTGCACTGTCCACTGGACTACAGGAGTAATATGGAGCCGTGTTTCAAGTTGATCCTTTCCTCTCGTTGCAGATGTGGTGTTGGGAGATCCAGTCAGACAGCAGACAGCGGGGCTGAGCAAACAAAAGGGAGACTCAGTGAGTCTGAGCTGCTCATATAACACAACCTCGAACTATGCTGCTCTGTACTGGTACAGACATCACCCAGGTCTGGCTCCCCAATACATTCTCTACAGACATACCAATGGGGTAGACAACACTGCAGATTACGCCAAAGGCCGTTTCACTTCACATCTGGACAAGAATCAGGAACAAACCACATTAATCATTCTCAGTGTCATTGTCACTGACTCTGCCGCGTACTATTGTGGGTTAAGACCAGATGCACTGTGCTGCAAGGCAATGACTTCCCTGTACACAAACCCAACTTGCGTTGAGGCACAATGTTACCCCAAAGAACTCTGCTTTCGTTGTTTTACATATAAACGAAAAGTTCTTGCAAAGAGAGTTTCAATCCATTAAAGTCCTGTAGCTTAGATGTTAGAGCACTCGTCTCGCAACCGACTGGATTTATGTTTGATTCCCAATCGGGCAAAACACAGTTAGTAGGAAAGCGGTTGGTTGTCGAATGGCGGATCGCTTTTTCTGGGGTAATCATCCTTTTAAAAAATAATAATAATAAATTGTTCACTCAATCCTCGACAGCTTGAGGGACTTCGATGAGTGCCTTTGGCTGCCGCGTTTCATCCACAACATATACAGTCACTAGATTTTGCAGCCTATCCTTTGAAGCGCTTTGAGACTTCTGGCAAATGTGATCAGTCGCTGTATGAAATGCAAGGAATATTATTATTATTTCTCCGTGTTATTGACAGACTACACCACTGGAACTAAATCACTAAAGAGGAGAGAGAAGGTTTGATCTCAGCACAGATGTTCGTCTGACAGTTGACCTATTTAACAAGTCCTGTTATGGTGGGGGGAATTCGTGGAGGAAAGATATCTTAAGTAGAGTTTGATGAAGGCGCTGTTGAAGTGGAGGGTATTAATCTGAATATTCATATTAATGGTGTACAGTCCACAATGCACACTCTGGTAATTCTAACCAAGGTTTTAGGTTTGATACTTCAACTCCTGACATTCTCGTGAAATGCCAATAGATGTCGCTGTATAACAATACAATAAATCTCATTTTTATGCAGCAGTTTTCGGATCAGGAGGGAACCATATTAGTGCTGAGCACTGCACATAACGTGTTGTATTTTAGCTTAGTGGTTTGAGCAATGATATCAGAAGTGAGAGGAGCTCGGTTCGATTCCTGGTTGGAAAAAAAATGATAGGCAATTATCCTTACTTCACGCGTCTCTTTGTTTACCTAAAAATAAGTAGGAGCCCACTTGTTACTCGATTCGTAGATAATTAAAACTATGTTTAATTAAAAAAGAAAACACATGCATTGACTTTTTTAAGCAAGAAAATAAATAATTGAGTAAAATATTAATTCGATCGCTCAATCTGCGACTGTTTTTGGGAAACTGCTGTGCACAATTGGATGATTTATTTTTCCAAGAAAATATAAAATCAATCAACTCTTCAGTATATTTTTTGAATCTCTTTGCGTCGTGACAAGGATCCATATACAATGCAAGGATTATAAGGCTTATAAGATGACAGTGGACTCCAACATGATCAACCTACCGCCTCTCCCTCACACACATCCCCAAACTGCTTTGCTCTCCCAGTCCATCGTTCAAGTCAAAAAATAATCCCAAACTTCTTATTCCAACAGTGATCAGCTCCTCCTCACACCGTTAAATCACCACAATGCTCAAGACCAATGATATTTCTGAAAAGAACAAACAAAACTAACAATCTTTGCATTTTATACAGCGCCCCATCACGTCAACGAGACGCCACCAAACACTTCACAAATATACTGTAAAGCGTCGAGACTGTTTTTTAGGCGAAACCATTGGCACGTTTCGCCTAAAAGAGGCGGCGTCCCATATTTAGTGATGGATTACTAATTCAATTATTATTATTATATGGCAGAGACGTTTTACGCTGGAAAGAGGTGAAGCATTCGAAAACAAGCGGGTTGCACTTAACATTAAACAGAGG